GGTTGCTCATAATTTTGGACAAATATGAGCCCATTTGGTAATTGACTCCCCCCCCCCCAAATAGTGTCCGTACGTAAATTTCTCTTGAATTTAATAGGGACTTTCCCTTCATTGTGAATAGCCTTTTCATTTACCAGGACATTTTTTTTCTGAAAAAAGTACAATTATTTAACAAAGTTCAAGGTCTCCATTTTAAAGGACTACTAAGAACCAAGCCTAATGAGTTATTTCACATGGTTTAGAGTTTCTAAATTTAAGGATTGATATCCACGCTGTTGATTTTTTTCAATGGGGTTATGCATTATTCTATTATCAATGAGATTCTCTAATTTCTAAAACAAACCCAAGTACGTGCTACCCAAGTGTTATTTCTTGTTGCCATAATTGTCCTCATGTAGCACATATTGCTTTAATTTGATGCAACTAAATTTTCTTCAGCATCTTCAGTTTACAACTTTATTTTTTTTATTTTTCTGTGAGTTACTAAACACTAGTGTTTCCATAATTTTCATTGGAGTGTGAGTTTAATTTTATTTGGCCATATATTGGGGACTAATTGTTTTTTACTTGTTTTTGCTGAATTTTGGGTGCCGAATTTCTTGCTTTTTGGACTTGGAAGTGTCTATTGGAGTATATTCTAGATGCTTATAGGTTATATTTTTTAATCCTATTATGCATAAAATTTGGAACACTTGAGAGTACATTGTCGATTACTTTGACTATAATGAATGCATGATCAATTATATACATATGTATGAGCATTTAATGCAATAATTCTGCCATCATAGATGACATCATGCAGTGTGGTGTGTCTAGAAAAGTATATGCATGCTTATTATAAAATGCAAAGGTATTTGGTTTGCTCATAGGCATACATTGTTATTCATGATATCTATCATAACCATTTAACATTACCAAAACTAATTTCACAATTCACATACCTAAAGTTGGGATTTCCTCTCATAGAAGGTGAGTGACTTCCACAAAATTTTGAGGTTTTCACAAATTGGTAAAATTGTCCAAGAGCTTTTTTCCAAAAACAATGCTCATTCAGCTATAAATTGCTTGATTTCATCTTTATGGTTGAAGAATGGCCATCCCAAACCTCCAATTTGGGTAGCAATTTAGCTGCTGGTGTACAGCTTAGCCTATCCAAACATCCTAGTCTATATATAACCAAAATGTTAAGGGCGAAATCCCCAAAGTGAAATATCAAATCCCAAAAGTGATGCGTGCTGCTAATCTCAAACACTAAAGAAATAAGAAAACCATCAACTAATTATATTTTCTGAATAACGACATTGATATATATTGCTACGATATATAAACCATATCGAAATATTGAGAACTGTCCTACTGGTTGGATATCAATTTTCAAGTATATCATTTGCAAGATTTGGGAAAAACTAATTCACCACATCCACATTCCCTCCAAGCATTGATCTTTCTAATCAACCAGTTCATAGGCATTGGTTGCAGTTTCAGCGGTGTTATAAGTATCGATTCTGGAAGCTATTTTAGTGTCAGTTTCAGTATTGTCACTGGGATGTAAATTGATGATTCTCATATAAAAGCACTTTGATCTGTATTTTTATTCAGTAGCTTTCTTTACCTTGTTTCCTTGCATCAAAAGCGACCAGAGTAATGAAATTTAAAATCTTAGATGTTTAGCTACTTCAAACGATGAGCATGACAGCTGGCATGATCAGGTGTAATCCACAGAAAAGTACCCATGCTGAATGCCAGTTATACCGTGCTTCAATGGTATGAGCAAGTAAAGGCTGTCACCTCATCCATTCCATATCATTTGCACTATTTCCAACTTTGGAAACAATGCAGCTCATGCAGAAGGACAAGGGAAGGGCGGTAAAGTATTCACCAATATACATTGTGTTGTTCTTGTCATAACAGACTTAAACATCTTAAAAAGGATTATTGTTCCTAATTGCTACCGATATACCACCATGCATTAACAACACCAACACTTATCATTTTCTACTGGGGAAAAAAGAAAGCTCCACCTGACATTTTAATAATGTTGTGAAATCTCTTGACAAGATTTAGGAGCTAGCTTTGACTCCTCTAAAAAGGCAACATCCTCACTTACATTGATCACCCATTTTCACCTTCAAGCTCTTAAATTATTGATGGAGAATGGTTTAATCTTTTCATTCAATTTAATCTTTCCCCAAACATCCTCAAATAAAACTAACATTCTTGAAGTTGAGAGCTCATATAACAAAGATCTAAGATTGGAAAACAAAAATATATCTGATGTAAAATCAACAAGGCTTAGCTCCTACAAAAGTGTAACACACAAAGTGCAGGTCAAAAGAAAGGGTTCTGTTATGCTTGGGTATTCTAATAATGTTAGGGTTAGAAGTTCTAAAGGTTTTTGGTTCCTACAAAGATTGGGACAGGACTTTGGAAATCCTGAGGTCTCATGTATTGAGTAGGAATAGAAGTTAGGAGGCCTAAAAGATGCAGGACTCAAGCTAGGTTCATGGGGAAGCGTTTGGTAGGCAATAATTAGAGTTTAAATTTAAGGGTTTTAATATAAGAATACCTTGCTGGAACTTAACAGCCCAGGAAGATAGGATGATGGTTGGAAAGGAAATCTAGGGTTTAAACTCAGATTTAAATTCTAAGGAGGGTAAATATATGGTTAGGGTAGCTATTGAGCTAATTTACCTAAGATTTGGAGAGGTAAGTCTATAGTTTATACAAGAATTTGAATGGTTCATGAATTGGTTGTGGGGAGTCCTAGATGGCTATGTGCAACAAAAGAGGGGAAAAAAAGGAAGGAAACTAAGCAAACATCAGAAGAACACCCAATCCACAAGAAGAAGAGGGACTCAAGCCTTTAAGGAGACTGTCTCATAACTAAGCTAGAGTTGTAAAATCAATCTCTCTAGAAAAAGAAGACTAACTCAAAACTAAGCTAGAGTTGGAAAATCAATATCTCTAAAAAAGAATAGAGGAATCATTCCTCTAAATGTGGCCTCTCACAACATTCAATACCCAGATTTTGTTTCCCAATTTGAATTGATTTGACGGCTGCATGGGTATTTATAGAAGTTTGGATCCTCCCTCCTTATTTTACTTAGCTTGGGACTCAAACTATCTCTACTTTCCCAAATTTCTAGTCTTCCATATTTTTTTAAATTTATGCAACTAGTCCTTTCATAGTTTTAGGCAACTGGACACTAACACAACATGGAACAGATCTTCCTAAATTATGACGTGAATTCTTCCACTTGGAAATGATCTTCCTAAATTCTTAAAAAAAATTAGCAAATTAACTTGCAAAACCAGGAAAGATACAACATAGTAAAATTTTAAAGACTCAACTTTCTAATTTATGGAGCCCACAATCTTCTAGACAATTGCCTACATCCCTTATCCCAGAGTTTCTAGGATTCGACTATGGAAAGAGGAAACTAATAAACTTCAGAAAAAAATTTCGTCACAAATTTTCCAATAGGCTTTCAACCACGATTTGAAACCTGAAACATTCAATTATGAAAAACACATATAGACAAGGGTCATAGATATTGAATATATCTTTAATTTTAGCTTTAAATTACCCCAAACAAACATCTAGATGGAAAGTTATATTCTTTGAAATCTGGCTGCATCAATATCTCAGTCACACTCTGTTTTCAGTTAGTCATGATCATGACTTCTCATCTAAATCATTATGCACTAGTAACACAATAAAGAATCACATTTGTATTTGTCATATTGTTCCTTCACATTATCCTTTCTTGGAACCATAAGATGCAGAAAAGGACTGATGCAGGTAGAAGTTCAATGGGGTTGTTACTCTTCAGCAAAGGGCCACTATGTCACATTCTTCTTTCGACATCATTCAAGGACGCAAAGTTCCGAGGAAGATAATTGAAAGGCACGAGCCAAAAAGATATTTTTATTTCAACATGAAGCCTTGCATTCCACAAACAAGGATAAAGATCATGAAACCCTTTGTCTCTAGCTTTTGCATTTTGGGCATTTCTCAATCATTTCAAGTGCTAGTGTGATAGCATATCTTATGTAAAACTTGCCATTTGTCTAAAGACTTCCTTCCACAATAACTAAATAAGAAAAGGACTTTATTTTATAACCAACATAACTCATTGTCATGTATTTCCATCCTGTAGTTTACTTCTCCTTATCCTCCAGACCTCCACTACCCTTGAGAATTCCAAAAGAAAGGAGTTTGGTATGGAACCTACAATGTTATAACAAGATATTAAAAGATAAATCACAATCCCTATATAGAACAAGCCTAATGCATAGTTGTGTGGATCTCCTAACCTAGGTGGCAGTCCCGCTCCATAATCTCGTTCCGACACTTGAGGAAATGGATCCTCAGGGGATCTCAATTTTTAAATTTTGGGATATCAATCACGACTATTAAGCATCTTGATCCCCACCTTAAAGACCAAAATAACAACCAAATTGAAATTTTTTTTAATTTATATAGCATTGCAAATGTATTTTTAATATAGTTGCATTGCTTGTTGGCTAAATAAAGAGAGGAGTAAACGTAGTCTTAGACTATATCTACTCTTTAAAGTGGGGGAGCAAGATTCCAAAAGGTTGGGATCAAGATCCCAAATGGTCGAGATCAAGATCCCCAAATGGCTGGGTTTGAGATCCCTAACATTTGGAGATCCTGATTCCTAATATATGCATTGTACGGACAACACTCCTAACGATAGGAATCTTCTAGATTTTCACAATCCCCAAATTTCAATGCTAATCCCAATATCAATCCTAACAATTATGGACTTATGTCTATTCGCCAAGTGAAAATAATTAATGAAGGACATGCTGCTCTAGCCAACAAAATCACATAAAGTAAACTACAAAATAAATAAATAAATAAAAATAAAAAATAAAAAATATCTAATAAATCTCTTCCAAACTATTAATATCCCCATTCTTTTAGTTTTTCAAAGAAATTATGAAGCTTTTCTCAACTAATAATCTCAATGATTTCTAAAATTTGAAACCATTTGTAATTCTCTCCATCTTCAAATTAGTCATGTTATAAACGATATCTAAGAGCTTGAGCAAAAAAAAACATTTAATCAATGAAGAGCAATCAAATTCCCAATTCTTACCCAAAAAATCAAATTCCCAATTCTCTAAGCAATCAAATTCCTTCCTATCTTTTAGTCACAAAAACAGCTCATACCAGCTAAATCGATGCCCAAACACATCACCAATTGATCCTCAAAATCTCTTCAAACAAAAAGGCCAAATTGACCTTAATTTCAAGACTCCTAGGAGCCTACAAATAAAGCCTAAGTAAATCATTTTCCCGAGATTGGGAGAAGCTTGACCCTGAGCTTGTTAAGTGCAATGCATCCGTCAAAGGCTTCTTCAATAGTTAGTGATGAAGACACGACATAATGTGGAGTTTGCAGTGAAACACTAATAATAACGTGCATAAACTTTATTTCCCTTTTGTGCTCAAAGATTGTAGCTCACATAACACAACCAATGTATCTTCTTCTCCACAATTGATTATCAAAGTCTATGGTAGTTTTGGGTTAATAACACCACAATGCTAAATCCACCAGAATACAACCAACCTCATTATCTAATTGTTCCAACCACTTTTAAAGTGTCAATCTCTCCACGTTGATGGTCGCTCTGTACTCCAAAGTTTGCTCTCAAAGTCTCTATGGCTTGATTCACATTCTGCTTAACTTGTTGACTCAAACTCTTAATGAATTATTGCAACATATCCTTGATTGAGTGAGTGAGCATTGGCGGCATGATGATTTACCAAATTGACCCTCATTTGAAACCTCTATAAATCCAAAAGTAAACCCTAACTGCATCACCAACCTCATCAATTCACAATCTAACCAATTTGAACTCAAACTCACGCAAATTAGTCATACTCCGGATGTTGTGAATCTTGAACCAAACCTTTGGGATCTAAACAAGTATGGTAGTTCCAACATTTTATAAGTATCATTATCTAGATGGAGGAAAATATTGCACACATAATTAGAGCTGGGTGGGCGAAGTGGAGATGTGCAACTGAAATTTTATGTAATCGCCGCATACCAATGAAGCTGAAAGGCAAGTTCTATAGGACAATTGTGAGATGAGCTTTGCTCTACAGGGGCGGAATGTTGGGCGGACAAAAAACAATATACCAAGAGAATGAGTGTAGCAGAGATGAGAATGTTGAGATGGATGAGTGGCACGACAAGGGATAAAATTCGAAATGAATCTATTCGAGAGAATTTAGGTGTGGCACCAATTAGTGATAAGATGAGAGAGAATAGACTTAGGTGGGCTGCCCATGTGTAGAGCTAATCAAGTACAACACATGTTATGAGGTGCGAGTTAGTTCAAGTGGAAGGATTGAAAAGGGTAATGGGTAGACCTAAAAGGATGTGGGTGGAAGTAGTCCGAAAAAATATGGGACTTATGGCCTCAGAGGGTGTGGCCTTTAACAGGGCAGAATGGCAGACCAGGATTTGTATGGCTGACCCCATTAATTGGGAAAAGAATGATGATTTAGGATTGGCTGGGCCTTTGACAGGCTTGGTCAATTCTGTCATACCTGCCTCAGCCACAGGACCTAGCAAGTGCTAACGTCAGTCCTTGTTTTAAACCATTGATCAGAAAAAATATATATATTCAGATACAAATGTAAGGAACCTGAAATATGAGAAGGAAAAAAAATGAAATATTAGATCAGAACTAAAGTCCAGAGAAACAACAAACCAAAAGGGAACCCAACGAGGAAGCTGAAAAGAGAGGGGACTGCATTCACCAAATTGAACTTCACAAAAATGACAAATCCAAATCACGACAACTAGCCAACAATAAAAACGAAAAAATTAAGTGGGGATTGGAGTTCACAATTTAACAATTGAGGGAAGAAAAAGCTAAATCCAAATAGCACTAACCAAGTATAGAGCATCCAACTAAAGAAATCCAAACAGCACCAACCAGGCTAAGACTATCAGAATGAATATACAGAAAGGAATAGAATAGAGATAGTTTTAGAGAGAGAAAGAGGGAATTGGACTCACTTCCTGCTGTATCATCGGCCATACATAACACGGTGAGACCATCGGTCCTCTTGACATGGAACACATACCGGTCCTGCGAGTAAGACACATGGCTGTCCATAGACCCAGGAATCTTCTCAAGGATCTGCCGAGCGATGGCGCTCGCATTCGTCGGCGTAGCACTGAATTCTGCGAGCACCACCGACCCCCGAGCAACCAGAGCATAAAGAATCGCCATGGCCACCAGTCCACCACCGATCTATCTCCTAATGATCGTTCTTCACTCTCTCGCCTATCACTGATTCTTCATCAAAACACCCATGGATTTTTGAATAGGATGCAGAAAGAAAGAGAAATAGGGTTATGAGAGAGACTGTTTTATACTATAAATTTTATAGAATTGCAGAGAGAGAAAGAGGGGAAGGGATTTCTTTCTTTCTTTTTTTCTTTTTCTTTCTTTTGAATAGAAGAGAGAGAAGGGATTTGAGGAGACAAGGTGGGCTTCGGCCAATTCTTTTTTGCGTGTGAATTTACGTGGGAAGGGGCAGAACCTAAAAGACAGGCGAAAGCTCTGAAATTATTTTATCGATGTTTGTGCGTTACGCGGTTAAAGGGGAAAATTTTGCAATTTTTCCATCTTTTTAGCTTTTTTATGCGGCCAAGCCCGCGTATGTAGAAATGCATGCCTACTAATAAATTTATTTTTTAGATGGATTTTTTTGGCTTGATTTTTAAATACATATAATCCCTAACTTAGAGATCATGAATATAAAAAATAAGTAAATTTTAAAAATTATAAATAACAATCTTTGTATGAAAACATTTGAACAGTTAGTTACCATTGTTTTTTATGGAATACATACTTGCATCCATCTTTAAGATGGAAATGAGGTCCAACCCGCATGAAACAATTTTCCTTTAAAAATAGTGCATCGTATTTTCATAAGCTTGCTTTGCACTCTCACAAAGCCGATCCAATCACCCATCAAAATTGGTCGTATCAATTGTTTTAAAAAAATGAATATCTAGAATAAAATGTAGCATATCGGTTGGGGGACGCATTTCTACATTTACATACTCAGGTATCAAACAACCAGGCGGATGTAAAGTTGTGGTCCCTCTTAAAAGAATCAAATTTGAAGGTTCAAATTTTTTTTTCAAAATTTTATTTTTTAGCTTTTAAATTTCTTTTTTTTACATGTCGACGATCTCCTATATATATGTCTAAAAAATTAGGTCCAAATTCCATCGGGAAAATGTATAAAAAAGATGGGTTGCATATTTACATATGAATTCTAGGACTCATGGAAGCCTTGTCTTTTATAGATATATCCTATTTATTTTGTAATTCATATATCCTATTTATTTTGTAATTCGTATTTTAAAGTGATATTATGTAATTCATATTTTATACCTAAAGTCCTATTTTGATAGCATTTTAATTTTATTTATTTTTCTTAAATCTTTTTAAGGTCATATTTGGTGTATATATAATGCTCATCATCAAACCTCTATAAAAATATTTAATAGTTAAAATAAATAAAATTATATAAGGGATTGTCCACAACTATACCAATTATTTTTTGTATACAGAGGTCACAATCATTTCACTCATTAGATGTCAAATTTGATGGTTTGTGGTGAGTCATGAAATCCGATAATTTTTTTTTGGAACTTTGTGACTATTCAATGATACTATCTTATTACCACCCATTTTGAAATTTAAAGGACGAGAATAATTGTGACCTCCATATACAAAAGATAAATGGTCTCTTTTGTAAACAACCTCATTACGTAAATACTTATAAATAATTATAGGGGTATTTTGTCAATTGATTTTTCATTTAGTTTTTAATATTTTTATAGGTGTGCGATAGGGAGAAATATGAGCATACAAAAATTGTGCTTAATCCAACAAATAGGAAAAAAATAAAACTAAAACATACCTTATGCTCTTAAAAAGTGGGATTATGTTTAAATTTCAAAAATAAAACAATATATTTTGTAATTTTTTCTAAAATAAATAGGCCAGTTTAAACTTCTAAAAGATATTTTAGTAGGAGTGGATCTTCCTCCCATCACATCAAATATCCATCTTAAAGATGATGTTTGAAAAGCACGGTCCTACCAAAGACTAAAAGGGAAGCTCATCAAAGTGCTTATACGAGATGATCAACTGAAAAGATTACCATATATTTTGGTTTAATTTCAAAACAAATATAAAAACCTTACCCGTATATTTGAGAGAAAGTCACCCTTTAGATAATTCATTGTTTTTTAAATTGTTGATTTAAGTTGAAATCACTTGATCTAGATCAGAAATCATCAAAAAATGATCCGGTTCTTAAGCCTTAATGGCAAGGCTACCACTAAGATGCAAGGCCATGTAGCTTAAAAAAATCAATCTAAATAATATACATAAATTACATTTTAAAAGTGGGATTACGTTTAAATTTAAAATATAAAACAGTATTTTTTGTAAATTTTTCTAAAATAAAAATATTAGTTTAGAAATCTAAAATATATTTAGTAAGAGTGGGTCTTCTTCCCATCATATCAAATATCCATCTCAACGATGGAAGTTTAAAAAGCATGGTCCTACCAAATACTAAAAGGGAAACTGATCAAAGTGCCCATGCGAGATGAACAACTTAACAGTTCACCAATATATTTTGGTTTAATTTCAAAACACACATAAAAATCTTACCCGTATATTCATGAGAAAGTTACCCTTGAGATAAACCATCGTTTTTAAAAATTGTTGATCTAGATTAGAATCACTTAATCCATATTGAAAATCATCAAAGAACGATCCACTTCTTGGGCTTAATCATCCTTGCAAGGCTACCCCTAAAATGTAAGGGTATGGAGCTTAAAAAAAATTGATATAACTAATATACATAAATTTATTTATTTTAATATTTTATAGATCCGGGATCTAGTATATTCTGAATCGATAAAATCCAAAGATGGGTGGACAATCTACCCCACCAATTAGAGTCTTCAACTCATGTAAAGAACAACGAGAAAAACCAAAATATTTTTCTCCATAGATTTCATCAAATCTTGTAGCGGTAAATTTCGTGAGAATATAAAAATTTTCCTTCCTTATATTATGCTCCCGCGGGAGCATAGTATACACGCACATTTCCTTAGTAGACTGGAGCTTATAAGAACCGTTATTTGGATCCCTTAAATGGGGCCCTTTCGAATGCGTCAAAGCAGTCCCCACGAGGAAGAATGATGGAAGCAAAAAAAGGCGCGAAGATCCATATTCCTTCTTTGGAGTCGCGGGTAAATCCATTTCTCGAATCCAACAACAGGGGAAAATTTAGTTTTGGCGGAAAAGCTGAGCTGGCTTGAAATTTGCTCATGAAAAGAGCATAGGGATCGGTTGCAGCTGCTGCTAGGGAAGCATGTGTGGCAATAGGTGCGTCTCCCACTCAAATAAAAATAAAGCTGGGCTGGTCCAAGCGGGCTGATCAACCACTACCTGAGGGTAAGGTTGACTCCGGCATATGCCATGCTCGGCCGGCTCACTTTTTCTTTTTTTATTTTATTTTTTATTTTTTATTTTTATTTGGCCTGGCTCAGGTTGGGATAGTGGGCCGGCCCTATGGAGACCACTTGTTGTCAGGCGAGCTAATGAACCCCACCTTTTTTATGAGAATGGAGTAAGTGAATTTATCATGAGACTCGACAATACTACTGTCAAGGCCACACACCATTCTTAAAAGACGATAGATACTTAGCTTTTACATACACAACCATGACTACAATTTTTATAGAAAATATATGATTTTATTGTTTTTTCATAGCTTTCACAATCATTCTTAATAATAACTACAAAAGCAAACGACAAATCTTATTACTATTCATATGTGTGGCACTACAGGGGGGAGAGAAGGATTGGCTATACATTAACAACTCAAGCGAAGCTGCCCTCCAAGTTATATGGCAATCTCACATGAATTAATAAGATGGAGGAAGGCTGATACCACGCCCCCATGTGTCTTGCAAAGAGTGCCCTTTGCCCCTCAAACGCATAGTAACATACATGTTGGAATAGGGGCCGCATTTTTACATATGCGGTCCATAACCGTAAAGCATCCATCTTAACGATGGATGCAAGTAGGTGTTCTATCTAAAAACAATAGAAATTTACAGTTTAAATGTTTTTTTACTGAAATTATTTATAGTTTTTTAAATTTTTTATTTTTTCATATTTATGATCTCCATGTTAGAGTTTACATGTCCTTAAAAATTAAGTCTTAAAATCTATCTAAAAAATATATTTATTAAGACGCTCGCATTTCTACATATGCGGGCTTGGCCGCATAGAAACCGGGTCCTTGAAAAATATTTAGAAATATTACTTTTAGTTTTGAATATTTATATTCATCATAGTTGAGCTTCTCACCCTGAGCACCGTTTAATGTCCAAACAACTAGGGGTGGCAATGGGTAAGGTCTGACTAGACCCAGACCTAGACCCAGACCCAAATAGATTCGGGTCAGGTTTTGGATACGGACCCAACCCATCGGGTCTGAAATTTGAACCCATACCTATACCCATTGGGTCGCGGGCCTATTGTCACCCTCACTATGTGTTTCTTCTCTTTTTTTTTGGCCCCTTTAGTTACCATCATGTACCCATATTATTGGTAACAAGGTCACAATCACCCACTATTAAATTTCAAGTATTGTGATTTGTCATTTAATAGCTAAAGATGACTACTAGTTCTAATTACATTGTCACACCCCAAGAATTTACAATACAGATATTCTTGAGATGTGACAGTCCAAAACATATATACAACTCTTAATAGGACAAATTTACAGTGGCGAGGTCTTACAAAGTAAATAAAGAAAGCTAGCACAATAACAATATCTTTCGAGGTTGATCGTGACTAGCACTCAAAATGAATCCGCAGTTATCCTGAAAAAATGTTTACCATAGTTTGATGAGTTTGGCTACTCAGTAAGTGATCATCATAATCCTAAAAATAATCATGGTTGGAAGATATCAATATTTTCCAAAAGGAGATATATTAACAGAAATGCATCAACAGTTTCACTTTCAATAAATGCATAATTAAGTATAATCCGAATAATTGAAATGTATATAACACTTTAACGGTAGTGCATAATTCAAAGGATTTCACAAAATACCCTACTGACGTCCCAAGTAGGTCACCTATATACCCCATCAGCGTCCTGATGAGTCCACTTAATCCCTATTGGCGTCTCAGATAGGTCCACTTAATCCCTGCAGGTCCACGTATACCTCATCGGCGTAAAGGATGAGTCCACTTAATCCCTACTGGCGTCCCGGATAGGTCCACTTATACCTCACCAGTGAACCAGATGAGTCCACTTGCATACTTTATTTCTAAATCTCTTTAAACAATAGAAAGCAGCAATATCATGTACTCAACATATCACTGGAATCATTAATATAAATATCACTGAAACCATTAATAACATTCACTTTCAATAACATTTAAAAAATAACCAATCAAATATTTGGGGCTCAAATTTAGAAATGTAGCAGTTCGTAG